TTGTTGCTTTGCCTGTGCTTTTCTGGAGTAGTTTTAAACTGTTCTCTAAAGCCTTTGGAATTGAAGAAAACCGAGTAGAAAACATGAAATAAATAACCTGAAAAGGCTTTCACTTTCCTGCAAAACAAAAAGGAGTGGTCCACAAAAAATGCAAAGAAAGAAAGAAAGAAAGAAAGAAAGAAAGAAAGAAAGAAAGAAAGAAAGAAAGAAAGAAAGAAAGTACTCAAGGTGATATAAATATAAACATGTTCACAGTGTACATACCTAGCCCTATTCCAGACTACTTTAGTTTACTCACACCAATTTGCAATGTTTAAACATTCAAATTCTTGCTTTAGAATTTCCAGCTTATCTTGATTCATACTCCTCAAGTCCCATGTTCCAATTGTATGCATCATGCAGCAACAGACTTCCTTTCAACTCTATATGAATCAGCCACTCAGTGTCCTTTTGGCTTTAATCTAGTTGCTTCATTAATTAGAGCATTATTTGGACTTGTGCCTAGTAACTGAGTGCCTTGGGAGTCTCATCTTCCAGTACAATCTCTTATTTCATATTGGATTGTCTCATTAGCATTTTTCAGGTAGATAATATTCAGAATATTCCTTTTTTATGTGCAGTTCTAACAGACGTTTTTATTCTAACTGTTTTATTCTAACAGAGTGCCATTATCTCTGAAAGATCCTCTACTAGTGGCACCTTCAAATGCTGCTGTTGCCCAGTAGCTGCCCTCTGGGAGTTTCTCTGTTCCCTGTCACCAATGAAATTGTCCATTCTGTTCTGCTGATGGAACGTTCGTTTAGTCGTTTAGTCGTATCCGACTCTTTGTGACCCCATGTACCAGAGCACGCCAGGCCCGCCTATCTTCCACTGCCTCCCGGAGTTGTGTCAAATTCATGTTGGTTGCTTCGCAGACACTGTCCAGCCATCTCATTCTCGGTCGTCCCCTTCTCCTCTTGCCGTCACACTTTCCTAACATCAAGGTCTTTTCCAAGGAGTCTTCTCTTCTCATGAGATGGCCAAACTACTGGAGCCTCAGCTTCAGGATCTGTCCTTCCAGTGAGCACTCAGGGTTATTTCCTTTAGAACGGATAGGTTTGTTCTCCTTGCAGTCCAGGGGATTCTCAAGAGCCTCCTCCAGCACCACAATTCAAAAGCATCAATTCTTCGGTGGTCAACCTTCTTTATGGTCCAGCTCTCACTTCCATACGTCACTACAGGAAAAACCATAGTTTTGACTATTCGGACTTTTGTTGGCAATGTGATGTCTCTGCTTTTTAAGATGCTGTCAAGATTTGTCATCGCTTTCCTCCCAAGAAGCAGGCGTCTTTTAATTTCGTGGCTGCTGTCTCCATCTGCAGTGATCATGGAGCCCAGGAAAATAAAATCTGTCCCTGCCTCCATGTCTTCCCCTTCTATTTCCCAGGAAGTGATGGGACCAGTGGCCATGATCTTAGTTTTTTTGATGTTGAGTTTCAGACCGTTTTTTGCAATCTCCTCTTTCACTCTCATTACAAGGTTCTTTAATTCCTCCTCACTTTCTGCCATCAGAGTGGTATGATCTGCATATCTGAAGTTGTTGATATTTCTTCCGGCAATCTTAATTCCGGCTTGGGATTCCTCCAGTCCAGCCTTCCGCATGATGCATTCTGCATATAAGTTAAATAAACTGGGGGACAATATACAGCCTTGTCGTATTCCTTTCCCAATTTTGGACCAATCAGTTGTTCCATGTCCAGTTCTAACTGTTGCTTCCTGTCCCACATATAGGTTTCTCAGGAGGTAGATAAGGTGGTCAGGCACACCCATTTCTTTAAGAACTTGCCATAGTTTGCTGTGGTCCACACAGTCAAAGGCTTTTGCATAGTCAATGAAGCAGAAGTAGATGGAACAGTTGATCCCAAAGAGGATGGATGCACTTTAGCCTAGTATCTCAGATTTGACTGTTCCACCTTGGGTAACCTTGCTAGAAGTCCAGGCATGTAATGGAGTTTAGCTTCCTGGGCTCCATTGCTGTTGGCTTCTCTGACACACTCAAACCACCTCACCACATTAAGACAGCCCCCCACCCCTGAACTGTGATGGGAAAATTCACCCACTGAGGTATTTGTGGATTGCAATTGCCAGCATTTTTAACATTGGTTCTACTGGATAGGGCTGTTGGGAGTTTTTGCCCATCCCCGAAATAAAGAAGATGTGTGGCCTTTTTAAACTCTGAAGTTTCAGCAGGTCAAGACACTCAGTGTTGCATAACCACCCAGCACTGTGTGGATGACTGTAAGAAGAGGCTTGTCACCATTTCTTCACCTGCCGCAACCACCAGTTCCATTTTTCAGAAGCTGGACTTCTGTCTCAACCAAGAGCTCAAGGTCAGCTCACCTGAACTGGTCCTCGGCTTGACAAAAGGCAGAAGAAGTAAAAAACAAACAAACAAGGAATGTATAATTGAGAAGGCCTTTGGAGCTGTTCTGAGAAACATCTTTCCACTATTTGACTAATAAAGGCAATAACATCAGAGTTAAAGCTAATCACCCTGCCTGGGATGATTCTCTTGTCATTAGGCCATTGTTGCCAGGTGCGAGAAAGAGGCTCCTTACCTGAGTGTATTCATGCCTGAAGTCTGATTAATTGCCTTTCATAGATGGAAATAATTTCACCATTAATTAATAAATCTAGTTTATTTCAATATGTAGTGGGCCCCCTCAAGGTTTTCTAGGTGTAAAATGCACACCAGGTGTGGTGATCAGGGAACAAAGGAAAGGCTAATGGCCTTGGAGATGGAGAGAGAGAGAACAAAGGAGTCAACAACAGTTGCCCTGAGCCTCCCTGCAACGCCCTGAGGGCTCTTTTATTGACTTCGCATGATTACACAGTATGTTATGAGAGAAAAACAGAGAGGATAGTGATTACCTAATCACTGACTAAGATTTGCTAAAATAACTCTTTGATCTTATGCTCTACCTCTAAGTGGAAGGGCAGAAGAAGGGGCTAACCCCCCCCCGCTTCCTGGCCGCTGCTGCATCCTGCCAGGAGTGTATGCACTTCACTGAAACAGAATCACAGCTACAACCTTTAGGCAGAAGTTTCCCACACCCAGGGCTACACCTGTTACCCAAAATTTAAAACCAGGGTTTTCCTGTGGCAGGAGACCAAGACAAAGAACATCAGCAAAGGCACAATGCAGTTTTATTTGAAAAAGGCTGAAAAAGCTGGTGGGTTCCCTCTAAAGCAAGAGAAGCCCACACTGCAGTTTGACACACACTTTTATAGTTGTTGTTTTTTAAGACGAAGAGCCATAGAAAATTCCTAAAGTTTCTACATCGTTGTTCCTTCCTTCCTTCCTTCCTTCCTGAGTACATGATAGGTTTATTTACTGTCAGGTTCATGTAAACTCAGTATATTTCCCAGCCTGTCTGGCAGAACAGTCTCACTTTCTTTGGGATGCAAAGATGACCAGTTCAAACTACTGTAGTTCTGCTTTCTTGTTCAGGGTCACCTAGGCTTCTTGTCTTCTCTTAAAATCTACATATAAACAGATTATAGTCTATAGTGATCTTCTTTTGTCTACACCTGACCTCCTTTTTATGTCATCACTCCTGTGGGAAAGCACATAACTCCATCAGCCACACATGCTTTGGGTGAACTCAGCTGGCCTCTCTGATGGTAATCTGAATGGGGATTCAAACTCCCAGCCATTGGTTTTACAGCGATGCATTCCAAACAACTGAGTTATATCAGCTCCAATCTCACATGCTGATAGGAATTACTGTATTTTTCCATGTATAAGACACTGCTTTTTCCTAAAATCATTACACTAAAAATTGAGGGACAGCTTTTACATGGAAGTAAGCTGAGATAGCTGAGGAGAAAACAAAACAGCACATACTTTGCCTCAGTAAACAGGCTTCCTTCTGTCATGAGGCTTAGCTTCCTCCAATCATGAACCTTATGGAACTGACTTCAGCTAATGCTGAACAAACCAATTGGAACACACCTCGTTGGAGGTGGTGCCTGTAGGCTCAGATTCAACAGGGACTCAAAATGTCTGACTGTTCTGAGCCCAGAGGCTGAATCCTCAAAGCTAAGTTTTCTTAATTTTGGGGTTAGAAAAGGGTATGTGTGTCTTATAAATGGGGGCATGTTATCAAAGGGAAAATACAGTACATTCTTGATTCCTTTCCAAAATAGATTTGCTCTGGCACTTAACCCCTCATGGTTTTCGTTGTGAATATTTTGCTTGCATAGATCAGCACATTTTACAGCCCAGTTGTTGCCAAGCCTCTTTTCCAAGCAGATTCCAAACTCAACCAGCAATTGTCATGTAAGATATTCGCACATATGCAGGTCTGGACAAGCATGATTTGCAGCCCTAAGACAGTAACAGATACTATGGTCATGATCAAGAGTACCACTGAGCAGTCCAACAGAACCCCAAAAAATACATGCTCCGTGTCTAGTGCCCTGTCTGGATCATCCACCAAGGCAAACAAGGCTGTTTTAATCCCAAACCTAGCATGAATCCAGACTGGGAAAATTTAGGTTGGTGTAATAAAGCCAAGAGGTGAACATGTGCAAGGTGTAACTGTGTCTTGAGCAGTAAATTAAAGAATTGTGTGTGTAGACAAAACCATTATAATTTCAAGGTATGGACTTGACAGTACCTGAATAACCCCATCAAGAGGACATTAAATATAATATGAAAACTGTAAATTTTGTTTGTGCATGTTTATAAAGTGTTTTGGCCTTTTCTTGCCATTTTACTTAGTTCCTTCACTTTTCAAGAAATTGCAAACAGAAACTATTGGGTTTGTACTTTCATTATCTGTGGTTTTAGCACAATTATTCATGCTCTTTTATAATAACATGGAAATATGTTTTAAGTGACTGTGGTTACCATGACAGAAGCAGACTGTGAATCCAGCCAAGGAGAAAGTACTTCAAAGAAGGAAATAATCACATATCACTGTTTAATCTGTGCACTGCTGCTTATTTGATTCCAGATTTGGTACCAGGAACTGAATATGGAGTTGGGATTTCAGCTGTAAAGGACGGCAAGGAAAGTGTTCCAGCTACTATGAATGCAAGGACTGGTGAGTGACTTTCATACTACAAATGGAACCTGCCAAAAAATCTTGCATGGGATGCCCTTGTTCAGAAGGTCAGCCAGTGAGCCCACCTATGCCTTCATCCAGCACACTCCAGCCTACCCCACAGTGTCCCTGTCTGTCCTCTCGCCCCGGCTAAGCCACATTTGGCTGATGCTGGATCTACTCATTCTGCTCCCTGCCCTCACCCAGTCTTGCTTTCTTCTTCCTTTATTTGTTTTGTTTTGTTATTTTAAAAAGTATGTCTTCCATCTTTAGGGTTTCCTAACTCTGATACTTCCCTTTTGTGCTTATCAGGCAAAATCCAAAGGGAAAATACAAAAGCAAAACAAAAAAAAAAGCCAAAAACATGTGGTACCTTAAAGACTTACTATTAAATTTGAATGTGAGCTTTCATGGATCATGTCCACTTCTTCAGACATATGGAATAAAATATAATACAACATATCTGGACATGATCCACGAAAGCTCACAGTCAAGAATAATAGTCTTTAAGGTGCCACATCTTTTTGTCTTTCTTGTTTTGCTTTTGTTTTTTTCCATTTGGATTTTGTCTGATACTATTGCACAGACCAACATGGCTAGCTCTTCCAAAACTTTTCTGCATAGATAGTGCCGTTTTGACTGCCTGTGGATCCACACTTAGAGAACTGGGTTCAGAGGATTGCTTGTCTCATACAAACTGGATGTGAAATAAAGGGGTTGTGATAACAGGCTGAGACCAATAGTGGGATCATATATAATAGTATTGCTGTAGGGATCTAGACCAAATATTGATGCAAGCAACCAACAAATTATGGTGCAAAGCTGAGCCGAACTGCTTCCCATGCTATGCTCCTTACAGCAAGTCACACTGAGATTTTCTAGAAGTCATGCTGAAATTTACAGTTACTAAATTTTGGATCTGAATTTAGGACTGTGAAGCTTTCCTATTGCATTTTGGACTGGATGTGGAGTTGCTTGAAAGGACCTGGCCTTTCCTGTGAATACAGTATTTAGCCATTGGCATAGACCAGAGTTTATAGTCTGCTAAGCAGGCCCAGTTTAACAACAGAGACCTGCTTGTAACCAATGAATGATGTTGAATGAGGACAATAGCTCCTCACTAAAGACGAGGCTATTCGTATTCATATATGAATATGAATACCCTCGCACAGGTTGACATTCACCTTCCGCTGTTGCCACAGGCTCTACCCTCCCTTCCTATCGCTCAGGAGCTTGCGGTCTGTGAGCCACTATTCAACCTAGCAGCGAGGCAGATATCCTTGTACAGTGAAGTCTCAACCTATGGAATTAATCTATATTGGAACGGGGTCCATAGGTCGAAAAGTCCTCAAGTCAAAAATGCATTCCCCATAGGAATGGATTGAAAACCAATTAATTTGTAAACTGCCCAAGAAACACCACCACACACACACACTACTCTATTTGGAACTTTGTCCTGCCAGGTGGTACCAAAAATTTGTCAGAGACAACACATATCGAAGGTGTTCAGCTTCCTCTCCTGCCGTGCACAAAGGGTCCAGGACTCACTGCAGTACAGGAGTGTGCTCAGGACACAGGCTCTATAGACCTGGATCTTGGTATATGCTGTCAGCTTCTTATTGAGCCATACTCTCTTTGTGAGTCTAGAGAGCATGGTAGCTGCTTTCCCAATGTGTTTATCCAGCTCGACATCTAGGGAAAGAGTGTCAGAGATCGTTGAGTCAAGGTACACAAAGTGATGAACAACCTCCAATTCTTGTGTGGAGATGGTAATGGAGGGAGGTGAGTCCATGCCCTGGCCCATGACTTATCTTTTCTTCAGCCTCATTGTTAGTCCAAAATCTTGGCAGGCCTTGCTAAAACAATTGATGAGTTGTTGGAGGTCTTCAGCAGAATGGGCAACAATGGCTGCATCTTTGGTGAAGAGGACGTCCCACATGCATTTCAGTTGGACTTTGGTCTTCGCTCTCAATCTAGAGAGATTAAAGAGCTTTCCGTCTGATCTAGTCCGGAGATAGACACCTTCTGTTGCAGTTCCAAAAGCGTGCTTCAGCATGAAGCATAAAAGATCTCAAAAAGAGTTGGTGTGAGGACACAGCCCTGTTTCACTCCACTTTGGATGTCAAAGGGATCTATTGTTGAGCCTTCAAAAACTAAAGTACCCTCCATTCACTCATGAAAGGACCTGATGATGTTAAGGAGTTGAGGTGAACATCCAGTCTTGGGAAGTATTTTAAAAAGTCCCTGCTAACCAAATCAAAGGCCTTTTTGAGTATCTATGAAGGCCACAAAGAGTAGCTGTTGTTATTCCCTGCATTTCTCTTGCAACTCTCTGAGGGAGAATACCATGTCAGTGGTGGATCTATTAGCTCGAAGTCCACACTGTGATTCTGGATAGTCTCTGTCTGCAAGCACCTGGAGTCTCTTCAGCACAACACAGGCAAGCAGCTTCCCTACAATGCTGAGAAGAGAGATGCCACGGTAGTTACTGCAGTTGCCCCTGTCTCCTTTGTTCTTGTACAATGTGACGATCTTTGCATCCTTCATGTCCTGTGGTACTCCACCTTCCCTTCAGCAGAGACAAAAGACTTCATACAGTTCGGTGGTGATCTCTTTACAGCACTTCAGCACTTCAACAGGGATGTTATTCTTTCCAGGTGCCTTGCCAGAGGCGAGGGAATTCAAGGCTGCTTTTATTTCTGTTAAGGTTGGTTTGCTGTCCAACTCTTCCAAGACAAACAGGCACTCTATGTTATTTAATGCTTCTTCGGTTACTACATTCTCTCTGGAATATAGCTCAGAGTAGTGCTGCACCCAGCAGTCCATCTGCTGTGCTCGGTCCTGGATGATCACACCTGTAGCAGACTTCAAGGGAGCAGATTTCTTCTGTATTGGACCTAAAGCCTGCTTGATACCGTCATACATTCCTTTGATGTTACCTGTGTCCGCTGCTATCTGTATCTGAGAGCAGAACTGAAGCCAATAATTGTTGGAACATCTCCTGGCAGCCTGTTGGACTTGCTAAGAGCACTTGAAGAGCTTGCAAGTTGTACTCACTAGGACAGGCTTTGTATGCTGCTAGAGCTCTCCTCTTATCCTCAATGACTGGCATCAACTCCTCTGAATGGGCTTCGAACCAGTCAGCCAACTTTTTGGTCTTCTTGCCAAAGGTGGACAAGGTGGTGATATACATAGCGTTCTTGAAATGTTCCCATCGTTCAGGTGCATTAGCATCAGCCAGACCTGGAAGGGTTTCCTGAAGTGCTTGGGCAAATTCCTCCACTTTTCTTTGACTGCGAGTCTTGCTGATGTCAATACGTGGTCTTCCTTTTTCGTGTGATACAATCTCTTTGTTCGTAGTTTTACTCTACTACACACCAAGGAGTGATCAGTATCGCAATCAGCACTCTGGTAACTGCGTGTGATTGTAATACTACAAAGGCTGGAATGTCTAGTGAGAATCAAATCGAGCTGATGCCTATGCTTGGACCTTGGATGTCTCCAGGAAACTCTGTGTTGAAGCTTCGTATTAAAGAATGTGTTGATGACACAAAGACCATAATAACAGCAAAACTCCAGCAAGCGTTGGCCATTTTTGTTCATCTTTCCAATGCCAAAAAGGCCTAGACAAGTGGTCCAAGAATTGTGATCAGCACCAACTCTAGCGTTAAAGTCTCCGAGAATGAACAGTGCCTCTCTTTCAGGGACTTTTTTGATAGTAGTTGCCACATTGTCGTAGAATTTCTCTTTCACTTTTGTAGTGGATGACAGTGTTGGTGCATATGCACTAATGAGGATGACCAGTCCCGTTGATGAGTGGAGATGCAGAGACAGGATTCTTTCACTCCCCACAGTAGGTGGAACAATGGATCTCAGAAGAGTATTTCTGACTGCAAAGCCAACACCATATTCCCTGGTCTCATTCAATGGTTTTCCCTGCCAGAAGAATGAGAAGTTTTTTTCTTTGACAGAACCTGAGTCTGGCAATCTTGTCTCTTGCAAGGCAACAATGTCCATCTGTAGTCTACTCAGTTCCATGTCAATGACAGCTGTCTTGTGCACATTGTCTATTTCCTGCAGGTCGTCCTGAAAGCCGTAGTCAGAAAAGCCAGCGGTCATTGTCCGTAGATTCCAGGTGCCCAGCTTTAGGGCAGAAGTTTGCTTACGATTGTTGCATGGTGCACGGTTATCGATCTGCTTGTCGGGTTTCACCCTAAACCCCACGCACCCCTTGAAGTTAACAGACCGTGGTGAGGTAGCACCTTACTGGCTGGGGGCTGCCCAGCTTAAGGTGGACGGTATCTACCTAGTGAGGTGCAATGACCTCTCCCACCATTAGAAGTAGCCCCTGGTGTCATGCTCTATGCCAATCGAGCAAAGACTTATAACTGGTAACTGCTACTTCCTGCGTTGTTTCGGTGCTGCATGTGAAGCTGGAGTGTCCTCTCCAGAGCACGAAGCCTGGGTAAAATAATATGGAGGACAGGCTGTTACCCAAGCAGCAAATCCCGCCCCCTCCACATCACTGAAATAGTTCAGTGGAAAGGCGAGAGCCAATACAACTGGTTCCAGCGATGTAACAGGAGTTGCCAGAACAACATGAACTGCCTCTGAGACTCCGGCTCCGGATTTTTCCTCGAGGTTAATTCCTGAAGCCTTTTCCATCAGTGGATATAGCCACAAGGCAGTGGAGGTTTGAAATCGGAGTTTTCCTTCTCCTAGATGGGCTGCCTTCCAGGGCTGACGAGCCCCACCTACCCGGCACTAATACCTGTGCACTAGAGGATTGTGGGAGGAACACCTAGCTAATGTTAAGTGTTCCTCCCACAATTAGCATAATCAGAGTTTTTTAGCATATGCTAATACCTGTGCACTAGAGGATTGTGGGAGGAACACCTAGCCCCTGTAGGGGGTCCCGCAGGGCACCCCAAAACGCTGAGGAGCTCTCTTGGCCTCTGGCAGGACTGGGGCTGTGCAGCCCTGTACTGTGTGGGAATTGC